CCATGATCGCCTAGGCAACAAAGTGAGACCCTGTCTCAAAAAAATATACATATACTGAATAAGTGATGTGTATATAGAATAAAAAACTCTTGCGATGCAAAAATAAAGAGTGACAATTAAAAATGGAAAATGAACCTGAAATATAATATTTCTAAAGAAGATGTACAAATGTCCAATAAGTACATGGAAAGATGTTCAACATCATTAATCATTAGGGAACTACAACTCAACACTACAATGGGATTCTACCTCACATCACTAAGACAACAATAAGAAAAAAGAGATCAAGCTGGGCGCGGTGGCTCACACATGTAATCCCAGCACTTTGGGAGGCTGAGGTAGGGAAATCACCTGAGGTCAGGAGTTCGAGACCAGCCTAGCCAATCTGGTGAAACCCCGTCTCTACTAAACATACACAAATTAGCTGGGCATGGTGGCACATGCCTGTAGTCCCAGCTACTCAGGAGGCTGAGGCAGGAGAATCACTTTAACCCAGGAGGTGGAAGTTGCAGTGAGCTGAGACTGTGCCGCCGCACTCCAGCCTGGGGCAACAAGAGTGAAACTCTGTCTCCAAAAAAAAAAAAAAAAAAAAGAGATCATAACAAGGGTTGGCAATGATGTAGAAAACTTGGAATCCTGACACACTGATGGTGGAAATGGTAAACTGGTAAGCCCCTTGGGAAAAAGTTTGCAAGTTCCTCAAAATGTTAAACATAGAGTTACCATATAACCCAGCAATTCCATTACCAAGTATTTACTCAAGAGAAATGAAACATGTACACACAAAAACTTGCCCATGAATGTTCATAACACCATTGTTTATAACCAAGAAGTGGAAACACCCTAAATGTCTATCAACTCATGAATGGATAAACAAAATGTGGTCTATCCATACAATGGAATATTATTCACCCATAAGAAGGAATGAAGTACGGATATAGAATACAGCATGAATGACCTCAAAAACATGGTGCTGAGTGAAAGAAGCCAGCCACAGAAGACCACATATTGTGTGATCTCATTTATACGAACCCAGAATAGGCAAATCCACAGAGACAGAAAATAGATTAGTGGTTGCCTAGGGCTGTGATGGGAGGAGGTGACTGGGAAATGACTGCTCAATGGGTATGAGTTTTCTTTATAGGATGGCAAAAATGTTCAGAAGTTAGATAATGGTGATAGTTGCACAACTCTGTAAATGTACTGTCACTGAATTGTAAATGGGTAAACTTTGTGGTACGTAAATTACATCTCAATGTAGCTGTTAAATTTGAGAATTTGTGTGTGTGTGTGTGTGTGTGTGTGTGTGTGTACAGAGAGACAGAGACAGAGAAAGAGAAATTTTCTAAACAAAGGTAAAAATCCAAAAATTATAATGAAATTATAAACATGGTATGTTGTTTTTCAGATTGTCCAATGTTATAACCCTTTTGAAGTAGCTATTAAAATTTTAAACATATAAATTCCATAAATTCCACATTGTAAAATCTTACATTAAAAAATTCACTAAAACTTATGGATCTATGTCCGCACACGCGCGCACGCGCATGCGCACACACACACAGAGGATTTTTCCAGCTTTATTGACATAAAACCATAATTATATTTATAACTGGCAAATAAAATCATATATATTTAAGGTATACAATGTGATGATTTGATATACATGTATCTCCAGACATCCTCTACCTCTCAGCCCCTGGCAACCACCATACTACTCTCTGTTTCTATGAGTTCGATTTTTTTAGATTCCACATATAAGTGATGTCATACAGTATTTGTCTGACTTATTTCACTTAGCAAAATGCCCTCCAGGTTCATCCATGTTGTCATAAATGTCAGGATTTCTTTTTTATGTTGGAATAATTTTCCATTGTGCATGTACAATCAGCCCTCTGTATGCATGGGTTTCCCTTCAGTGGGTTTTTTTTTTTTTTTTTTTTTTTGAGACAGGGTCTCATTTTATTGCCCAACCTGGAGTGCAGTGGTGCGATCTCGTCCCACTGCAGCCTTAACCTCCCACGCTCAAGTGATTCTCCTGCCTCAGCCTCCAGAGTAGCTGGGATTACAGGTGTGCACCATCACGTCCAGCTAATTTTTGTATTTTATGTAGAGAAGGGGTTTCACCATGTTGCCCAGCTAGTCTTGAACTCCTGGGCTCAAATGATCCTCCTGCCTCAGCCTCCCAAAGTGCTAGGACTACAAGCGTGAGTCACTGCGCTTGGCCGAATTTATTTTTTTTTAAACAGGTGGTTGTGCCTGTACTTAATATGTACAGACTTTTTCTTGTCATTATTCCCTAAACAATATAGTATAACAACTATTGACATAGTATTTACATTGCATTCAGTATTATAAGTAATTTAGAGATGATTTAAAGTATATGGAAGGATGTGCATAGGTTTTATGCAAATACGATGCTATTTTATATAAGGGACTTGAGCATGCAGGGATTATATATATTTATATATATATTATATATATATAAAATATATAAATCCACACATGTATATCAGTCACATTTTCTTTTTCTGTCTTGACAGACACTTGGGTTGTTACCATATCTTGACTATTGTGAATAATGCCACACTGAACATGGGAATGCAAATATCTCTTCAAGATACTGATTTCATTTCCTTTGGATATATACCTAGTAGTGGGATTGCTGGATCATATGGTACTTCTATTTTTAATGTTTTGAGGAACCTCTATACCATTTTCTATAATGGCTGTACTAATCCATATTCCTATCAACAGAGTACAAGCGTTCCCTTTTCTACACACCCTGGTCAACACTTATGTTTTGTCTTTTTGATAACAGCCATTCTAACTGGTGTGAGATGGTATCTATCTCATTGTGGTTTTGCTTTGCATTTCCCTGATAATTAGTGACGCTGAGCATCTTTTCGTGAACTTGTTGGCCATTTGTATGTCTTTGGGAAAATGTCTATTCAGGTCCTTTGCCTATTTTTTAAATTGGATTACTTGTTTTGTTTTTTTTGTTTTTGTTTTTTTTTTTGTTTTTTGGCTGTTGAGTCGTATGAGTTCCTTACGTATAGGAATGCTAGTTATAGCATTGTTTTTAAATGCAGAATCCTGGAACCAATCTGGATGTCTATCAGTTGGATAAGATTTAGTTGCTTCATAACTGTTATGGTACATGTATACTACAGAATAATATGTATGTACTAAAAAGAATGAGTTAGGTCTATCTTTACTAACTTGAGGTGATGTTCATGATATAATTTTTAGGGCAAAAATTCAGTTGCAGAATACAGTGTGCAGTGTGATTCTATCTTCATATATATATATATATATATATATGTGTGTATGGCCGGGTGTGGTGGCTCATACTGTAATCCCAGCACTTTGGGAGGCTGAGGCGGGCAGATCACAAAGTCAAGATATCAAGACCATCCTGGCCAACATGGTGAAACCCCATCTCTACTAAAAAAACAAAAATTAGCTGGGTGTGATGGCGCACACCTGTAGAGACTGAGGCAGGAGAATTGCTTGAACCCAAGAGGCAGAGGCTGCAGTGAGCCGAGATCGCGCCACTGCACTCCAGCCTGGCAACAGAGCAAGACTCTGTCTCAAAAAAAAAAAAAAAGAAAAAAATGTATGTACAGGCTGGGCACAGTGGCTCACATCTGTCATCTCAGCACTTTGGGAGGCCAAGGCAGGCAAATCACCTGAGGTCAGGAGTTCAATACCAGCTTGGCCAATAAGGTGAAACCCCGTCTCTACTAAAAATACAAAAATTAGCCCAGTGTGGTGGGGCACGCCCGTAGTCCCAGCTACTCGGGAGGCTGAGGCAGGAGAATCACTTGAACCCAGGAGGTGGAGGTTGCAGTGAGCCAAGATTGTGTCGCTGCACTCCAGCCTGGGCGACAGAGCAAGACCACTTCTTACAAAAAAAAGTATCTACATTGTTTAACATCTTTCTCTTCATACTGAGATATGTGTTTGATGAGGGGACTTCGGCCTATCTTGTATTATCTATGCCTAGAACAGTATCTGACACATGGTAGGTACTCAAAGGTTTTTTTAAATTCTATGACTGAATAAATGCTTGTCTATTTTTGTAAGAGCAAGAAGAGGGTGGAAGGGGCCATTCTAAGCTGCTAGTTTTAGTTACCTCTGGGGAAAAGGATAATTGAGAAGGGAGAGAAGATTGTTAACATTTTCTTTATTCTTCTTTGCTTTTTTTTTCCCAGTTGTTAACAACAAACATGTTAGTTCTATAATGTAAAAAATCTTAGACTGGCCACAGTGGCTCACGTTTGTAATTCCAGTATTTTGGGGGGCCAAGGTGAGTGGATCACATGAGGTCAGGAGTTCAAGACCAGCCTGGCCAACATGGTGAAACCCTGTCTCTACCAAAAATACAAAATATTAGCCAGGTGTGGTGGCGGGCCCTTGTAATCCCAGCTACTTGGGAGGATGAGGCAGGAAAACTGCTTGAACCTGGGAGGCAGAGGTTGCAGGGAGCTGAGATCGAGCCACTGCACTCCAGCCTGGGCCACAGAGTGAGACTCCATCTCAAAAAAAACTTAAAAAGATAATGTGAAAGGGAGAAAAGGAGTATAAGCTATGAATGCCATCACATGGAAAGAGACACTCAACTATTTGTCACATACACTTCTGGATAGAGAAGAGAAAGGGGCAAGAGCAGATAGAGCTGTTTGGGGGTCAGAGAAGGCTATAGGTTAGGGGACTGAGTGGGTGTGGGGAATCTTCTTTTCTTTATATTCAGTTATGTTTCTGAGGACTGACTGCTTTATCCATCTAGAAAGATGTACGAATTTAGACTTGCTCCTTTTGGTTTCAATTATGGGTGCATTCACCACTTGGTGTCTGGAACTATTTCCATTTTGTTGATACTAATGAGTAAGCTATAAATGACTGTCTTCACTCACGTGGCTGCTCTGAGTCACGTGGGACTGGTTCTAATGGGTCCATGAGACCCGTGCTCTGCGTTCTCCGTAGAGTATACACACCTTTGGCGAAGAGGCTGAAAGCACGTTGCTTTAGTTACTTGGTACTGGAAAAATCGAGGAGCTGTACCAGAACATAGTTTGATGTAAGCTCCTCGATTGCTGCCTTCTTCATAATAATTAGAAGCAGAAAATATAGTCACAACCTGGTTAAAGAAAAAGAGGGTCAGGTTCACGTAAAATTAGTTCTCAAAAAGTCATTCAATAAGGTCAGAAATAGCTCAATTGTTAAAAAGCAAGAATCAAAGAAAGTTCATAAACCCTGCAAATCATCCAAGTCCTATGTGATTTCTATGATTGCATCGGAGGAAAACAAGGCTACTCCCCAGTGTCCCCAGGAGCACTAACTCCTGGCCACTCAGCCAACATCCTCAGCGCATGGCCCTGCAATCCTGGGTACAATTTTAGTGCCAAATCTCAGAATCCTCTTTAATGTCTGATTTTGCGAATTCTTTTTCCAAGGAGATAAATCCCCTATTTTCTTGTTTTGTAATAGTTGAGCATCCAGAACGAAATTTGTCTGGTATTTCAGTTTTTTTCTTCTGCCTGGAGCAGAGTGATTTAGAAGGTTCAGGGCCCGAGAAAGTCAGTGCTTTAAGGGCAGAGATGCAGTGGCTAGAAGAAGGGACCACGACCATTATCTTGTGAAGGAACTAGCCTTGGGCTGTGGTAGAATATGGGAGGACACTTTTTTTTTTTTTTTTTTTTGAGATGGAGTCTCGTTCTCTCACCAGGCTGGAATGCAGTGGCACGATCTCAGCTCACTGCAACCTCCACCTCCTGGGTTCAAGCAATTCTCCTGCCTCAGCCTCCTGAGTAGCTGGGACTACAGGTGTGTGCCACCATGCCCAGCTAATTTTTGTATTTTTAGTGGAGACAGGGTTTCATCATGTTGGCCAGGATGGTCACTATCTCTTGACCTCATGATCCACCTGCCTTGGCCTCCCAAAGTGCTGGGATTACAGGTGTGAGCCACTGCACCTGGCCGGGAGGACCATATTTGTGGGTGACAGGGAACCTGGCTTAGGCTCTCTTCTGTCCTGATGAGCATGTCACTTTAGACAAGCCACTGCTGTTTTCTATCTATTTTTCTATCTATTTTCTTATTACAAAGAAACCCTAAACAATACTTGCCTTACTCATCTTGCAATGTTAGTATGAGCTGAAAATGAATTAATAGAGGTCAGAAAAACAAAGTGCTGACACAGAGGGAAATGCCATACAACCTGGTATCCATTTTTATTTATTGCTGTTCACCATAGAAAAAGGTGCATTCCAGGCCAGGTGCGGTGGCTCATGCCTATAATCCCAGCACTTTGGGAGGCTGAGGCAGGTGAATCACCTGAGGTCAGGAGTTTGAGACAAGCCTGGCCAACATGAAACCTTGTCTCTACTAAAAATTCAAAAAATAGCTGGACATAGTGGCGGCCGCCTGTAATCCCATCTTCTCGGGAGCATGAGGCAAGAGAATCGCTTGAACCCAGGAGGCAGAGGTTGCAGTGAGCCGAGATCACGCCATTGCACTCCATCCTGGACAACAGAACGAGACTCTGTCTCAAAAAAAGAAAAAAAAAGAAAGAAAAAGTTGTATCCCAGGACAACTTGGGACAAGAAACCAGCTCCTCAGTCCTCACCTCCTTTAGCCTTTGATCACACACCACTGAAGGAACACAACACACTCCATTTTAGTGGCTGTAGCCAAACTGACTACAGTGAGCAACTTGCTGAAGGTCGCCTACTGAGGGAGCTGAAGGGAAGTGTGGTTTGTGTTTTGGGCCCTGCACGAGGAACAGGTAAAAAGTGCAAGAGCAAACTGGATTCACTGTTGCCTTTTATGCACTCTGTGAGGAAAAGGACATTCTCAACCCCACTGTGTGGGACAGTTGCCTTACAAGTAGTAAAGAACCAAGCCTTTCTGTGTGCTACTTAGTGCCATGTATCAGAATTTCTGTTTCTGAGGCCGGGTACGGTGGCTCACGACTGTAATCCCAGCACTTTGGGAAGCCGAGGCAGGCGGATCACCTGAGGTCAGGAGTTCGAGACCAGCCTGGCTAACATGGTGAAACCCTGTCTCTACTAGAAATACAAAAATTAGCTGGGTGTAGTGGCGCACACCTGTAATCCCAGCTACTTGAGTGGCTGAGGCACGAGAATCACTTGAACCTGGGAGGCGGAGGTTGCAGTGAGCTGAGATCACGCCACTGTACTCCAACCTAGGCGACAGAGCAAGACTCCGTCTCAAAAAAAGAAAAAAAAAAAAAAAAAAGAATTTCTGTTTCTGGGATTAGGGAAGATCAGGGAAATAAACCAAATATCTTTTAGGACAAGGGACAGTGAGGATCTTTCAAACAACCTAGATGAAGCCTGCCTTCTCTGGTTTCCGTTTGGTACTAGAGAAGATATCTTCTCATGGGCTTCTAGGCCAGACATACTCTGTGAAGAAAAGACTGTGCTTAGGGGAAGGATGTTAATGGGAATGTCACTAACAATTTTAGCTTACCTTCCCATCATGACAGATTTCATACCCTTCGGGCTTACATTCATGAGACCTGATGAGCATCTTCAACTGGTATTTATTAAGAATCTTGGAAGTAACATCTGGTCCAAAATAGCAGCCCCCTCCTCGGCCCGTATTTGGAAAACAGCCGTTTTTGCCTCTGGGATCACTCCACAGAATATCAATAATCTTGGAACAACAAACCAGATTCTGCTGTAACTTACAAGTGAGATTATATCTTTCTAGATTCTGACTTGTCAGAAATATTAACCCAAGGTATCCCAAAGACTACTTCTCATTCTTCCTTGAAAACTGTTTCAGGCCTGGAGAAGTGGCTCACGCCTGTGATCCCAGCACTTTCGGTGGCTGAGGTGGGAGGACTGCTTGAGGCCAGGAGTTCAAGCCCAGCCTGGGCAACATGGTGAGACCTCGTCTCTACAAAAAATACAAAAATTAGCCGGGCATGGTGGTGCATGCCTGTAGTCTCAGCTACTAGGGAGGCTGAGATGGGAGGATCACTTAAGCCTGGGAGGTTGAGGCTGCAGTGAGCCATGATCACTCCACTGCACTCCACTCCAGGCTGGGTGACAGACGGAGACCCTGTCTCAAAAAAAATAAAAAGAACATTGTTTCATATTCACCTCCTCCATGAATATCCAATACAGCAATAACAATAACCAAGAATCAGTCCTTGTCCTTTTTTTTTTTTTTGGCTTTAAAAATTCCATTATAATTGTTTGACAGTTGTTGAATCTACAAGGTTCTTTTCTCTTAAAAGAACTTCATTGTCACATTCAGGGGAGAAATTAGCTCCCCACAATGCCCACACATTAGGTGTGTCTTAATATGTTCAAAGACATAAGGTAGTCTCCTGCTGTGGCTCTGGGCCAGGTTTTTGTCCTGTTGAGCACATAGCCTGAGGATGCCCTTGCTGTCTCCCAATACAAATGTGGAAACCTGTTCATCTGAGGTGTCTCCTAAAGCATCTCCTTCACCTTTCCCCCTCCATGGTAAGTACACTCTCAGTTTCAGCAATACATTTAGCAACTGTTTTCCACAACGTGTTCTCCTAAATCCACAAGTGTTGTATTGTATAACATTTCCTTTGGGGTGCAGGAGAGGCAAATGCAGGTTACATGATGTCCAGGACTAAAGATCCAAATTTTTAAAATCATTTTTCTGCCGGGCACAGTGGCTCTTGCCTGTAATCCCAGCACTTTGGGAGGCTGAGTCAGGAGGGGTGCTTGGGTCCAGGAGTTCAAGACCAGCCTGGGTAAACATGGCAAAACCCCATCTCTACAAAAAATTTAAAAATAAAAATTAGCCAGGTGTGGTGGTGCACGAATGTGTTCCCAACTACTTGGGAGGCTGAGGTGAGAGGATTCCTGAGCCCAGGAGGTTGAGGCTGCAGCGAGCCATGTTCATGCCACTGCACTGCAGCCTGGGCAACAGAGCAAGACACCGTCTCAGAATAAAACAAAATAATATTTTTCATGAAGATTGGAGGCTCCCTCTTTGTGGCTCTCATCTATCTGTAAGGTTTCTTTTCTTTTTTTTTTTTTCTGTGATGGAGTCTCGCTCTGTCACCTAGGCTGGAGTGCAGTAGCATGATCTCGGCTTACTGCAACCTCCACCTCCTGGGTTCAAGCGGTTCTCCTGCCTCAGCCTCCTGAGTAGCTGGGATTGCAAGGGTCTGCCACAACACCTGGCTAATTTTTGGTATTTTTGGTAGAGACAGGGTTTTACTGTGTTGGCCAGGTTGGTCTCGAACTCCTGACCTCAGGTGATCCACCCACCTCGGCCTCCCAAAAAGTACTGGGATTACAGGCGTGAGCCACTGTACCGGGCCTGTAATGCTTCTTTATTGAAACTTCTATAACAGCTTAAAGAGTAGTGAGAAAAACTCTCTCTGCCATTAAAGCTATACAACCTTGAAAATCCTCCCTGGATCTCACTTTTGAGATCTTTAGAATCAGGCATTTGGACCAGTTGACCTGTAAAGTATCTCAGATTCTAACAGACTGATTCTAACAGTCTCTGTTTTCCACATGTTTCTTCTGAGTGCATGAAAAAGCAGGCATGTGAAGTTGTGCAGTTATTCCAGTGGGTCCAAATCAGGTCTGGAGAACAGGACCAGGAACTGCTAAACATGATTGTACAGCCACTGCTAAGTATGGTATGGAAGAGGAGCTAGAAATAAGTGAGGAAAAAGACAGTGAGGTGAAAAGAGCAGAACTGGCAGGAGAGACACCCTGGAATAAGCACCTGGTCAGAACTAGAGAAAAGAGAAACCCTGTACCAGGCCCACATCAGACACCTGCAGAGTTTTTGATGATTGAAGTGACAGTTAAAACCACCCAAAGAAGAGTCAGCCCAGGGCGCTCCTTTCTCCCCACTGAATGCCGACATCAGCACAACCGTACTCTATGAATAAATATAATGGAACCCCTTTACTTTGCTGGTGTTTATGACAAAAATAACACTTGCATTTTCGACTGAGTCAAATCTGGCTCTTACACCATGACATCATGTTTGGGGACATAATTTAACCTGTAATATAATAATGGAGGAAAGATGGAAATCAAGGAGTTGTGCTTTGTTAGGAGGGGATTAAGCTTTCAATTTCTACATGGGATGCAAATCATTTTTAGCCAAAATTACCCCTGGGAAACCTCTTAAGTTACCCTTAACATATATAGTTGCCCTTCAGTATCCAAGGTGGATTGGTCCCGGGACCACCTCCTACATCCAGGATACTAAAATCTGTGGATGCTCAAGTCCCTCGTATAAAATGGCATAGTATTTGCATATAACCCACACCCATCCTCCTATCTACAAATGGTCCCTGACTTACAATTTTCAACTTCACAATGGTGCAAAAGCAACAAGCATTCAATAAGCTCCTTGACATGATGGTATTATGTCCAGATAAACCCATCATAAGTCAAAGAGTATCTGTACCATAAGTCATCTCTAGATTACTTATAATACCTAATACAATGTAAGTGCTATGTAAATAGCTGTTATGCCATATTTTAAAATTTATATTGTATTGTTATATGGTTTTTTTTTTCCAAATATTTTCAATCTGTGATTGGTTGAATCCACAATGCAGAACCTGTGCATATGGAGGGTTGACTGTACATGATTGTATGTATACAACTCTATACAATAATATGGATACGTGAATGTTTTATATATATTATATAGATAATATGGAAATATTAATATTTTATATATGTGATAAAGGATATGAAAATAAAAATTTCCAGTATTTTTCTCTTTTATTGCCATATGCAATAATTGAAATTTACATAAATTCAAGGTACATATGATGGGACTCTGTTGAACTAGAATAAGCACTGGCCAAAGAGTTAGCACTTCAAGTAATTACCTAAGTCACCTTGGGCAAATCACTTATCATATTCAGGCCTTAGTCATCATCAATGGAATGAGGAAGATATATCTAACACTCATTTTTCTTTGATTCTAACTCATAAGGGGTAACAATTTTTAAGAACTGAGCTTGTCCTTCAGAATCCATTCCATGAGTTTTGCATTTCTTTTTTCTGTCTAGAAATCATTTCCTTGACTAGGTTTACCCAGATCGTAATGGTAACGTAAGATTAATTCCAGAACTCACAAACAAAAAAATTGCATAAAAGCCCCTTTGTTGGTGAAACACATTCCTCAGTAGAAACCATCTCTTTCATGTCAACAACACATTATCCTCTGAAATGCAGGAGCCTTGGGGTGATCACTGCATGAAAGACTAATTAATTCTTTACAACGTTCTTTCCTGAAAATTTTCAAACAAAAAAATGGGAACGTTTTACTGAATTACAGCTTTTATATGACCTGATCAACAAAAATCTATTTGTGTGTCAGCCTTTTAAATCTCCTCAATCTAAAATAAATCCTTCAAGAAGCACCTTGCGCATGTCTGCAGCTCTAAGTAATCCAGTCTCCAAAAGTGTGCTTCGAGGGAGAGTTAATAGCTCTGAAAGGTGTATCTAAATGCTTCTCTTCTAAAACATTAATACTACAGATTCACTATTCTTTCATATTTTCCCTTAGTTATACATCCTCCCTTCCAGCTTTTGACCATGTCATTTTAAATTAATTAATTAATTTATTTTTTGAGACAGAGTTTTGCTCTTGTCGCCCAGGCTCGAGTGCAATGGCGTGATCTCAGCTCACTGCAACCTCTGCCTCTTGGGTTCAAGCAATTCTCCTGCCTCAATCTCCCGAGTAGCTGGGATTACAGGTATGTACCACCACACCCAGCTAGACCATGTCTTTTTTTTTTTTTTTTTGGAGATGGGGTCTTGCTCTGTCGCCCAGGCTGGAGTGCAGTGGTGTGATCTTGGCTCACTGCAACCCCCGCCTCCCAGGTTTAAGCAATTCTCCTGCCTCAGTCTCCCGAGTAGCTGGGATTACAGGTGCGCGTCACCACGTTCAGCTAATTTTTGTATTTTTAGTAGAGATAGGGTTTCACCATGATGGTCAGGCTGGTCTGGAACTCCTGGCCTTGTGATCCACCTGCCTCGGCCTCCCAAAGTGCTGGGATTACAGGTGTGAGCGACCACGCCCGGCCTAGACCATGTCATTTTAAAAACTATGCTCAGGCTAGACGTGGTGGCTCACCCCTGTAATTCCAGCACTTTGGGAGGCCGTGGTGGGTGGATCAAGAATGAGGTCAGGAGTTCGAGACCAGCATGGCCAACATGGTGAAACCCTGCCTCTACTAAAAATACAAAAATTAGCCGGGTGTGGTGGCAGATGCCTGTAATCCCAGCTACTTTGGAGGCTGAGGCAGGAAAATTGCTTGAACCTGGGAGGCGGAGGCTGCAGTGAGCCGAAATCACGTCATCGCACTGTAGCCTGGGCGACAGAGCAAGACTCTGTCTCAAAAAAAAAAAAAAAAAAAAAAAAAAAGCTATGCTCAGCCCAAACCTTCCAGCCAGGGATCCTAGATTCCTTTAGATACCTTCCTCCTGCTCCCTGTCCACCCTTTAGGCCTCATTGAATAAGGGCTGACTAAAGTAGGTCACATCATTCCTGAGAATGCCTGTCACTCTCATCTATCCCTTCAAAAAAAGAGCATGGACATTCGAGTCAACCTCAGGATCAAATCCTACTCTATCACTCCCTAACTAGCCAAGAGACCTCAATCAAGTCATTTCCCT